GCCAGTATTTTATTGAGGATTTTAGCATCGATATTCATCAGGGATATTGGTCTAAAATTCTCTTTTTTTGTTGTATCTCTGCCAAGCTTTGGTATCAGAATAATGTTGGCTTCATAAAACGAGTTAGGGAGGATTCCCTCTTTTTCTATTGATTGGAATAGTTTCAGAAGGAATGGTACCAGCTCCTCCTTGTACCTCTGGTAGAATTCGGCTGTGAATCTGTCTGGTCCTGGACTTATTTTGGTTGGTAGGCTATTAATTATTGCCTCAATTTCAGAGCCTGCTATTGGTCTCTTCAGGGATTCAACTTCTTCCTGGTTTAGTCTTGGGAGAGTCTAATTTATTTGCATAGAGCTGTGAATCAATATCGTGAAAATGGCCATACTGCCCAAGGTAATTTATAGATTCAGTGCCATCCACATTAAGCTACCAATGACTTTCTTCACAGAATTGGAAAAAACTCCTTTAAAGTTCATATGGAACCAAAAAAGAGCCTGCATTGCCAAGACAATCCTAAGTCAAAAGAACAAAGCTGGAGGCATCATGCTACCTGACTTCAAACTATACTACAAGGCTACAGTAACCAAAACAGCATGGTACTGGTACCAAAACAGAGATATAGACCAATGGAACAGAACAGAGCCCTCAGAAATAATACCACACATCTACAGCCATCTGATTTTTGACAAACCTGACAAAAACAAGAAATGGGGGAAGGATTTCCTATTTAATAAATGGTGCCGGGAAAATTGGCTAGTCATAAGTAGAAAGCTGAAACTGGATCCTTTCCTTACTCCTTATACGAAAATTAATTTAAGATGGATTAGAGACTTAAATGTTAGACCTAATACCATAAAAATCCTAGAAGAAAACCTAGGTAATACCATTCAGGACATAGGCATGTGCAAGGACTTCATCCTAAAATGCCAAAAGCAATGGCAACAAAAGCCAAAATTGACAAATGGGATCTAAAGAAACTAAAGAGCTTCTGTACAGCAAAAGAAACTACCATCAGAGTGAACAGGCAACCTACAGAATGGGAGAAAATTTTTGCAATCTACTCATCTGACAAAGGGCAAGCTATTCTCTTGCCTCTGCCTCCCGAGTAGTTGGGACTACAGGCACGTGTTACCATGCCTGGCTAGTTTTGTTTTGTTTTGTTTTGTTTTTAGTAGAGATGGGGTTTCACTGTGTTAGCCAGTATGGTCTCAATCTCCTGACCTTGTGATCTACCCGCCTCAGCCTCCCAAAGTGCTCGGATTGCAGGCGTGAGCCACTGCACCCGGCCACATCACATTTATTTATCCATTCTCTGGGAGATGAATATTTGGCTTGTTTTCACTTTTTTGGTTATTATGAATAATGCTGTTATGAACTTCATATACTAGTTTCTATATTAATGTATGTTTCCAGTTTTCCTGAGTCTATACTTAGGAGTAGAATTACTAGGCAAGATGGTAACTCTGTGTTTAACTTTTAGGAGAACTACTGAACTATTTTCCACAGAGGCCACACAATTTATCTTTCTACTAGTAATGTAAGAAGGTTCCCATTTCTCTATATCCTGGGAATACTTATTATTTTCCATTTTTTTTTGTGTTTGGTTCTTATAATCATCCTAGTGAGTGTGAAGTGGTATTTCACTGTGATTTGATTTTCATGCATCCTGAGGCTGAATGATGTTGAGCATCTTTTCATATGCTTTTTGGCCATTTGTCTTTCTTTGGAGAAATGTCTCTTTAAATCCTTTGCCTATTTTTAAATTGAATTATTTGTTTTTTTGTGTGTTTGTTTTGAGTAGTAAGAGTTGTTTATATATTCTGGATACTAGACCTTTACTAGATACATGATTTGCAAATGATTTCTCCTATTCTGTGGGTTGTCTTTTCACTTTCTTGACAGCGTTTTTGATACACAACATGTTTTAGGTTTGATGAAGTCCAATTTATCTATTTTTATTTGATTGCTTGCACTTTTGTTGTCACATGTAAGAAACCCTTGCCTAATTCAAAGTCACAAAGATTTATCCCTATGTTTTCTTCTAAAAGTTTTATAGCTTTAGCTCTTATATTTGGGTCTTTGGTCCACATTGAGTTCATCATTGTATATCGTATGAGTTGGGGGTCCAACCTCACACTTTTGCATGTGAATATCTAGTTGTACCACCACAATTTGGTGGAAAGACTATTCTTTTCTCATTGAATGGTCTTGGTTCCCTTGTCAAAATGTAATTGACTATACATGTATAGGTTTATTTTTGAACTCTCAATTCTATTCCATTGATCTATATGTCTATACCTATGCTAGTACCATATTGTTTTGATTTCTTTAGCTTTACAGTAAGTTTTAAAATCAGGAGGTGTAAGTCTTTGAATTATTCTTTTTTGAGATTGCTCTGACTATTCTGAGTCATTTGCATTTTTGTATGGATTTCAGAATCAACTCGTAGTTTCTTTAAGAAAGAAAGAGGGATTTTGGTAGAGATTGGGTTGAATCTGCACATCAATTTCGGGAGTATTGTCATGTTAATGATATGAAGTCTTTCAATCAATTTATATAAGATATCCTTCCTTTTACTTAGGTTTTAATTTCTTTCCATTTTGTTTTGTAGTTTTAGTACACAAATCTTATACTTCTTTATTTATTTTGTTAAATTTATTCTTAAGTATCTTATTCTGTTTTAAACTATTTTAAGTGGAATCATTTTCTTAATTTTATTTTGGGATTGTTCATAGTTAGTGGCTAAAAATACAAATGATTTTTGCGTTTTGGTCTGAAATCTTCCTTCCTGCTGAACTCATTTATTATTACAATAGGTTTTTTGTGGATTCCTTCAGATTTTCTATATACGACGTTATGTCTTCTATGAATAGAGACAGGTTTACTTCTTTCTTTCCTATCTGGATGTCCTGGGGTGTTTTTTTCCCTACCTAATAGCTCTGGCTAGACCCTCCAATATAATGTTAAATAGCCATGCTGGGAATGAACATCCTTTTCTACCATCTCCTGGTCTTAGGGGGAATGATTTCAGTCTTCTGCTGCTCAGTATGATATTAGCTATTGGGTTTTTCATAGATTCTTGTTAAGTTGAAGATATTTCTTTCTTTTCCTAGCTTGTTGAGTCTTTTGTCAGGAAAGGGTTTTTGGATTTTGTCACATGCTTATTATGTGTCTGTTCAGATGATTATGTGCTTTTTGCCCTTTATTCTATTCATGCAGGTATAATATATTGGTTGATTTTCATACAAGTCAATTTGTTTTTCCTGGAATAAATCCCATTTGGTCATGATATATAATCTTTCTACATGTAGTTAGATTCAGTTTGCTACTATTTTGTTGAAGGGTTTTACATCTATTTTCACAAGGGCTATTGGTCTGTAGTTTTCTTGTAATATCTTTATCTAGTTTGGTATCAGGGTACAGACTGCCCTTTTCTCATTTAGGTTTTGGGGTAATAGTTTAAGCCTGGATTATAATTTGCCCACATTTGTTGTACCTGTGGAAAAAGGTTTTACCTTATAATATCTACTTTTTCTTCATCTTAGGGTCTAATGCTTGTGTATCTCTTTACTGAGGACTGAAACTTTTTTGCCCACACAAATAGGCATCTAATATGATAAAAAGAATGGATGAAACAGTTGCATACTGTTTTATCTATGGCCACAATGTTTTCCTTTTTTTTTTTTTTTTTGAGACGGAGTCTCGCTCTGTCACCCAGGCTGGAGTGCAGTGGCCGGATCTCAGCTCACTGCAAGCTCCGCCTCCCGGGTTCCCGCCATTCTCCTGCTTCAGCCTCCCCAGTAGCTGGGACTACAGACGCCCGCCAACTCGCCAGGCTAGTTTTTTGTATTTTTTTGGTAGAGACGGGGTTTCACAGGGTTAGCCAGGATGGTCTCGATCTCCTGACCTCGTGATGCACCTGTCTCGGCCTCCCAAAGTGCTGGGATTACAGGCTTGAGCCACTGCGCCCGGCGCCACAATGTTTTCCTATGATAATTCCTGTATTATTATTATTATTATTATTATTATTATTATTAGATGGAGTCTCGCTCTGTTGCCCAGGCTGGAGTGCAAAGGGGCAATCTTGGCTCACTGCGACCTCTGCCTCCCGGGTTCAAGCGATTCTCCTGCCTCAGCCTCCTGAGTAGCTGGGATTACAGGTACCTGCCACCACGCCGGCTAATTTTTGTATTTTTAGTAGAGACGGGGTTTCACCATGTTGGCCAGGATGGTCTCAAACTCCTGACGTCAGGCAATCCACCCTCCTTAGCCTCCCAAAGTACTGGGATTACAGCCATGAACCACCACGTCCGACCCTATATTACTATTTTATAGGCAAAGGCTTTCTTCTGTCCCTAATCCTACCACTCTCTGGCTACTAAATTCCTACCATTACTCCATTAAGACCACTTTACATATTACCTTCTCCATGAACTTTCTTTTGAAAGATTTCTCTTTCTCCTCTCAACTCCAATAGCACTTTTCTTTGGCTTACTCAATAGTGCATGCATGTATCTGTATTTGTTGTAGGTTTCTTCTGTGGGTTTTAGTGTCTTTTCTCCCCTGAGAGATTTATGACACTGGTTTATACTTTATGTAGTCTTCAGTAGTACCTATTTAGCACCTTCTCCTGAGTTCACACTCAACATATGTTGTTTTAATAATTTTCTTAATTCACCCTTGATATAATATCCAGGAATTCTATGAAATATATAAAATCATTTATGCCACTGTCTTTAAGTTGATCAAGCATGAATGAGTATAAGTAATTTTAATATATGCCAAGCATTTCCATGTAGTAAACACCTTTATAAACAAATCCAAAACACATAAAATGAATTTTTAAAATGGAAACCATATTATATCATATGGCATAGCGAGAATTAGAACTTGGGAAAAATAAATTATGTAATAGGTGGTTACTTAGATAAAAATTGCAAGGTAAAATTATGCTCTTTTTCTCTGACAGCGACTTGCTTTTCCAAGAATGAATGCAGTACCTGGTGTCAGAAGTATGACCGAGGTGACGATCAAGGAGCAGATGACCAGAATGACAAGCAGTGCAATCGCTATTCCTTTCCAATTCCTCTGTGGAGGGTTACTCCCCACCAGTTCCTAAAAAGAGCAACAACAAAGAAAATCCCAGTGAGTGAAATAAGGAAATAAAATAAGCCAAATAGACATATTTCATTTAAATTAATAACCAAGACACAAAACAGTGAAAGAGGCATCTTCCCATCCTTGAAGCTACTATTAGTTCCCTTCTGTACCCTTCTGCCTTCAGTGCCCCAAAGCCTTGGGCTGTCATTTTCCTGTACGATAGCTAAATGTTACCTCAAGAAAGAATCTGATATTATTATGTTTACAGCTTTTGTGCAAACCTAATGCTCCTCCTTCCAATAAACCAGACTCTATAGTATAGGGTCATCTTGGAACTTTCCTTCTCCACAGCTAAACTCCATACCCTCATTGAATCCAATCCAACTAGGATTAAACTGTTCAGCTCCAAGTCCTCTGTCACCTTTCCCTTTTTTTACATACATGTGATCAACTTCTATTTCAGGGTACCAAATTTAAATATTTATTTAGCACATGCTATGTGCCAATTTTCACCAACTTCTGCCCATCGCACTGCCTTCAGGCTTTTATTTTTTCTATATAAACTTCTCATTCAAGGTTTCAAGATTTTCCTGGTCTCTCTTCACTGGGCAACTCACCTATCCTTATTCTAGGTTTCAGTCCATTGCAGAGAACCTCTTGCAGTGCAGCAAGAGTGGCAGGTGAGAGAGGGACTCTGGAGACACTGCTAAGGGATACTAAGGACTAAATAAGTCTAGGAAATTCATCATGCATATTGGCTGCTGCGACCAAGTTTTCAAATCGCTGCAAATTAGAGGAATCATATAAATTTTAGTTGAAACTGTGATTCTTTGAGAGACAAAAAGGATCATATGAAAGCTTAATAATAATAAATATAATAGTTATATATAGATGATTATTATTAATTACACAGGAGTAAATAAGGACAGGTGCTCACACTGCAAAGGGACCACTTCTGCCCATTCATAGTCTGGAGAATACCCTCTTATAGTGTACATAATTGCAACTCAGTAACCAAGCCAAAATGAGGTAGAATGAAGACGGTCTCAAAAAGTAGACAATGCAATGTATAAATATATTTTCATCAGAGATTAAAAGTTCATTAGAATGTATCAAATTGCTACAAACTAAAATAGACAATATGCAATATCATCCAAATATTTAATATTGGCTATATTGGCTATTAAATCAAGAAAAATTCACAGGGCCATTATAGGCTTAGTAGGAAAGAGTTCTACAGTAGTTTAGAATTTCTACAAGTCTTCATATTTGCCATCTATAACTTAATTCATCTATCAGAGAGTAGCTTTTTAGAACTTAAAAAGTAAGACTATCCAAGAGCAACAAAATAGCTACAGAAAGTTACACTGATTCAATCTCATTTCCTAGTAGGTAGTATTTTCTTTGGGAGAAAATCACTGGCCAGGGCCAAGGATAAGTAATTAGATCTTGCTAATTCAGCAGCTTTTCATTTCACCCGAATTCAGAAAGAAAATAAGCCCTTTTTGTCAAGTCTGTGACCAGCAAGAATCTTTCAGTGGTACTATTCATACAAGCAACCTAGTGCACGCAATTTTTCACAGCCCAGTTGACATTCCTCAAACACTGTTAAGATGAAATTCCAGGGAAACCATTAAAAACAGAATGTCAAGATCAAATCTGATTCATGAACCAGAATGATAAAATTAATGTTATCTTCATTAACTCAAATAATTGATATCTTTTGAGTATTGTTTCTATTTCATTTTTAATTTTTTTAAAATTTTTTCCAGCCCAGGCTGGAGTGCAGTGGTGTGATTGTTGCTCACTGCACCCTTGACCTCCTGGGCTCACATGATCTTTCTGCCCAGCCTCCCAAGCAGCTGGGACTACAGGGGTGTGCCACCAAGCCTGGCGAATTTTTATTTATTTTATTTTTTGTAGAGGTAAGGTCTCACTATGTTGCCTAGGCTAGTCAAACTCCTGGGCTCAAGCAATCCTCCGGCCTCAGCCTCCCAAAGAGCTGGGATTACAGGCATGAGCCACTGAGCCTGACCTGAATATTGTTTCTCATAAGAGTAATCTAGACTTCTAAATTCTGTTTTAAACACATTTATTATATAATAGATGCATTGGTCAAAGTCCATATGCAAATAAAACAAAACAAAACAAAAAACCCTAGGACTTTGGATTTGCATCAATTACTTGACCAGCCAATAATGTGACTGATTTACTTACAAAAGTTCATTGGAACGACTGTTGCAGTGGTAAGCCCCTCCCTGGCCCAAACACACTCATGATCTGACAGTGGCTGGATATTGTTACAGATCATGACATAGAGAATATTATTTAGAAAGATGTTTTAGAAATAAGTTAAGATATTTGTAAGACATATGACATGAAGTAAAGTTGAAGGAAGTGTTTAGCCTCAAATATCAAATACTTAAAAGTCCTCACTCATTTGAAGGCATATCACATGGACTGGGGAGCATGTTCCAGAAAGCAGAGTTAGAACCAAAAGGAAATTTAACACAGGCGAATTGTGCAACAGAGAAACTTCAGAATGTCTAGCCATTGGTACTGCCTGATAATAGAAAGAGCTGCTTCACCCAGAAGTGAGCAGGGTAAATGGCCATCTCATGGAAATCCTGGAGGACTGATCCTTCAGGTAGGAAGTCAGAAATAGATGACATTAATAAGGAGGAACACAGCGGAAGTTCTATGGACATATATAAGATAGAGATGAAAGATACAAAACTGTGGAAGCTGGTACTGTAGGTAAAGAAATGAATGAGAGTAAGGACACTTCATGAAAGGGGGGCAAAGACTATGCTTCTTCCATGCCCACTGGACTAAGATAAGATTTTGCACAGAAAACCAATCTGGTATACATTATTGAATGAAAAAATGCACAGTAAGATGACCCATAGGCATCGATGCATATCCTACTCGACTGGAGTGATTCTGGATCACATGCATCGTTTCTTAGGTACAGATGCATCACATTGTCTTTCAGGCAGCACTGTTGCATTAAAACCCACAGGGATAAAGATATTCTTTACTAAATTCCATTTTTATTTGCCAAATTTTGTTTTTCAGGGTGCAGGAAATTTTCTATTACTACACAAGCAACATTGTAACAACAATAACGGGAAACAAATTAAAGAGGAAAAAAGTGATGAAAAACCTTGTTAATCACCTTGCTCTCTCCAAAAAATTGACTTTTTAAGGCTTTTTCATATTCATTTCTATTTCTGGGCTATATACACATTTAACTTTTAAATAGGTACAACCACAGCATAGATATAATTTTCAAGTTAGAATGCAGGCTAATATGTGTTTCTCTGAATATCTAATTTGGCTTCCCAAATTCAGACTTCCTCCCAACTTGCAGGAGTTGAACTGTTACAACTTTGAGTCGGATTGACTCTGCTTTCCGTGAAAGTCAAGAGAACTCCCTAGGTTATCCCCTGGCACACTGAGTTTCGGTAGGTGCGTTTCTCAGTAGAATTAGATAGGTTTTGACTAGCATGGTGAAAGCGAGGCTATAACATATTCCCTATTCTGTGACAACCTGCATACTTTGGAGGTCCATTAAAATGGAAAAGCATGTTCACAATTAACCATTTTCTTTAAGAAGAATAAGTCTTCTACCCAGTGATCCATATCCATCCATCCATCCATCCACCCACCCACCCACCCACACCATCCATCCATCCACATTCATCCACCTATCCATCCATCCATTCACCCATCCATCCATTCATCCATCCATCCATCCACATTCATCCACCTATCCATCCATCCATTTACCCACCCATGCACTCATCCATCCATCCATCCATCCATCCATCTATTCATCCACATCCATTCACCCATCCATCCATCCATCCATCTATTCATCCACATCCATTCACCCATCCATCCATTCATCCATCCATCCATCCACATTCATCCACCTATCCATCCATCCATTCACCCATCCATCCACTCATCCATCTATCCATCCATCTATTCATCCACATCCATTCACCCATCCATCCACTCATCCATCCATCTATTCATCCACTTCCATTCACCCATCCATCCATTCATCCATCCATCCATCCACATTCATCTACCTATCCATCCATCCATTTACCCATCCATCCACTCATCCATCCATCCATCCATCCCTCTATTCATCCACATTCATTCACCCATCCATCCATTCATCCATCCGTCCATCTATTCATCCACAACCATCCATTCATCCATCTATCTATTCATCCAAATCCATCCATCCATTCCCCCATTCATCCATCTATTCATCCATATGCATTCACCCATTCACTCATCATCCATCCATCCGTATATCTGTCAATCCACATCCATCCATCCAACACATATTTATCTTACTATGCCAGGTTAGGTTTTGAGAACCTTGAATACAGGAATGAATAAAACAGACACTGACACTCTTATCAACCGAAATTGAATGGCTTTCATTTTTTTTTCATATTTTTTTCTTGTAATCAAGGGCAGGAATGGGGGAAGGGTCAAACAATAAGCAGATCAGCTCATGAAGAGAAGAGAAAAGCAGGACAATGAGCTCTGAGAGCTGTTTGCATCAGAGAGATCTCTAGCAAAGTGACATCTGAATAGAACTGAAGGAATCTGCAGAGCTGACATCTGAGAAGACAATCCAGATAGAGGGAGGGGCAGGTGCCTGGCCTGTGAGACAGCATAGGCTTCAGTGGAGACAGCAAGGAAGCAGTGGCCAGAGTGGGAGAGAAAGGTGACTGTTCTGAGAGAGGAGTTTGGGGGCAGTAAGGGTCCAGGGAGTGCAGAGTTTGAGGGCCAGGTGCAGGCTTCCACTTACCTCTGAGTGAAAGGGGTGTGAGCACAGCAGTGTGTAAATAAGGCTCCCACTAAGGAAGGTGGCCAGGGGAGCTGCTTAGAGGAAACACCTGCAGAAGCCAGGGTAAGAACAGGAGCGGCCAACAAGGCAAAGGGGTAATGGAGGTCTGTCCTGGGTGGCAGTGGTGGTTGTGGTG